CCTGTTCTTCCTCCCACCTATCCCCTCCTCCCACCTCAAGCCGCACCTCCATCTCCTACCGACCAACCTCATCCCGCCCCCTTGACCTGTCCGTCCTCCCTGGACTGACCTATCCCCTTCCTAACTCCCTACCTACACTCACCTTTACTGGCTCCATCCCCGCCTCTTCGACCTGTTTGTTTCCTCTCCACCTATCCTCTCCTGTATCCCTCTTCTATCCGCCTCCCACTCTCTCCCTATTTATTTCAGAACCCCCTTCCCCTCCCCCTTTTCTGATGAAGGGTCTAGGCCCGAAATGTCAGCCTCTCTGCTCCTATGATGCTGCTTGGCCTGCTGTGTTCATCCAGCCCTGCACCTTGTTGTCTCGGCTTCTTCTTTATCTTGTCCAGGTTCCATGTTATTGTAATGTTTTCTGAAGCCTGAGTTGGTGATTTGGAACATGGGGATGGTGACAGGGTCTGTAATCGTTTTCATTGCTAGAAGGCATTGTTATTTTTAATTTTCTAATTTTTAGATATTCTGGAACCCAAATATGAAATCTATTTATTTGTCTATAAAGTTTTTTTCACATCCAGAAATTATTGTGACATTATTGATGGTCTGTATATTTTCAGCTTTGTTCAGGTTTACATGTATAATGTAAATAGGGTATTACAGCTTTAAAATATTTTTGCAGCCACGTGATCAATTAATCCCTTAGTTGGTCTTCCATGAAGATTGAAACCAGTAATTTAAAATGGTACCACAACTCAATGTGAGCTGCATGCATAACATTTATTTTTGTCTGTATAAAGCCATATAAAACTTTCAAAATTTAAATTATGGTGGATTATGAATTCCATTCATCAAATTGTAATGCACTAAACTGTGGGGAAAATAATTCTTGTGGAATTACAATCCTTGCCTTCTGGGTTCAAGCCCCACTCCATGACCCGAGCACAAAAATCAAAGTTAACACTGAACTATATTTCTGAGGGTGTGCTGCACTGTTGAAGGTGTCAGCCTTCAGATGAAATGTTAAATCAAGTTCCCTGCTGCCCTCACAGTAAGATGTTTAAGATCCTAGGACACTATTTTGAAGTGGGGAAGGAATGTTATCCCTAGTGGCCCGGCCAATATTTATCTCTCAATCAACTTCACAAAAACAAATCATCTCCTTATCATATTACTGTTAGCAGGATCTTGTTGCGTGCAAAATTGGCTGCCAGATTTCCTGTCTTACAACTGTAATTACACTTCAAAAGCAATTAATGAATTCTAAAGTGCTTCAATATGGCTGTTTTGAAAAATGCTGTATAATTAAAGTTCTTCTTCTTTTTCATTTTGATTGCAGTATAAGACTGCTTCTGAGTATTTGTGTACCTGTGAATAAACATAGCTCATAACTTTAGCCTGTCTGTAATTAATGGCTTAATAGAGGAGGCCTTCCATTTTGTGAAAGAAGTAAAAAGCGGTTAGTCGATATGTCATGTGATTTCCATTGACCAATATCACAAATTTAGAGTAATGGGTAAGCCACTGCTCACTATCTCAGATACACTTTGTCTACGGGAACAAGCTTCACTTCAAAAAAGACTTGGGTTTATTCTGGGAATCTAATGTTTTTAGGTAACAAGGCTGAACAAGTGGGGGAGCATTTTACACACAGTGATCATATCTGCATTAGATTCAAAATTATGGAAAAGGACAAGGATGTGCCTGAAATCAAAGTTCTTAACTGGGGAAGGCTAATTTTAATAAGGGTTAGATGTAATTTGGCAAGAGTGGACTGGGAGCAGATACTTTCAGATAAATCAAAACAGTGCGTTGCATTCAAGAAGGAAACATAGAGAGTACAGGGCCAACATATTCCAATAAAGAAAAAAGATGGGACCATCAAATACTGTGAACCCTGGAAATTGGATTAAGAGTAAAAGATATTAAGGGAGATACTGAGGATCGAAGACAGCAGAAGCCCTAGAAGAGTATAGAATGTGCAGGAATGAACTTAAAAGGAGATTAGGAGAGGACATCAAATGATACTGGCAGATAAGAAAAGGAAAATCCTAAGCTGTTTTACAGGTACATTGAGGGGAAAAGGATAATGAGGGAAAGCGTAGGGTGCATTAAGGACTACAGTGGTAATTTGTGCATGGAGTCAGAAGACGTATGTAGGGATCTAAATGAATACTTTGTGCTGGTGTTCACTAGTGAGAGGGACAATATGTGTACATGAATAAGGGAAAAAGTCTGTGATACAATTAAAGAAATGAACATAGACAGGAGGTTCTGAGAAGCCCGGCAGGCTTAAAAGTAGATAAATCTCTGAGTACGGATGAAATATCTACCAGGTTGTTGAGTGAGGCAAGGGAGGAAACAGCAAGAGTGTTTGCAGAAATTTTCAATTCCTCTCTGGCCACAGAAGAGGTGATGGAGATTTGTTGCCCAACCACTAATTTAGAAGGGAGCAATGGATAAATCAGGAAACTATAGGCCATTCAGTCTAATTTCAGTGATGGGCAATGATTGGAAGCAATTCTGAGGGACAGACTTATAGGGGATCCCTGATTTTCAAATGTCCAACTTACAAATGCTTGTACTTATGAGTGCAACCTCATACAGGGGTGTAATTTTAAAGACCTGGTATAAAAACATTTCCTGTACTCACAAAGGGCTCCTTTATATTGTCCTGTATTGTATTCCAACTTGCGTTCTAATCAACTTGGGAACAGACTCTAGAACGGAACCCGTTCACAGCCCAGGCACTGTCTATAATCTGCATTTGGACAGGAAGGGATGAATCAAGGGCAGTCAGCATGGTTTTGTTAAGAGCCGGTCATGTCTGACCAACTTGACTGAGTTTTTGGAAGAGGTGACCAGGTATGTAGATGAGGGCAATGCTTTTGATGTAGTTTATTTGGACTTCAGCAAGACTTTTTATAAAGTCCCGCATAGGACACTGACAGCTAAAGTAAGAGCCCATGGGATCCAAGGAAATTGGATGCATATTTAACTGAGTAGCAGGAAGCAGAGGGTGATGGTTTTGAGGGATTTTTTTTTTCTAGATGGAAGTCTGTGTCTGATGGGGTCAGTCTTGGGACCCTTGCTGTTAGTGATTTAATGATTTAGACATGAATGTAGGAAGGTTGATCAGGAAGTTCGCAGATGATACAAATATTAGTGGGATGGTAAATAGTGAGGAGGATAGCTTTAGATTATAAGAGAATATAGACAGGCCGGTCAGACGGGCTGATCAGTGACAAATAGAATTCAATCCAGATAAATGTGAGGTGATGCACTTGGGCAGGACAACGAAGGCAAGGGAACGCATGATAAACAGTGGAACTGTGGAAAGTACCCAGGATGAGAGGGATCTTGGTGAGCCTGTAGTCCAGTCCTTCAAGCTATCAGGACAGGTGGATAAAATGGTAAATAAGGCATATGATACACTAGCCTTTATTAGTCGAGGCCTAGAGTTTAAGAGCAGTGAAGTTCAGCTGGAACTGTATAAAACGTTAGTTAGACCACAGCTAGAGTACTGCGCGTGGTTCCAGAATCCATATTATAGGAGGGATGTGCTAGCACTGGTAAGGATGCAGAAGAGGTTTACCAGGATGTTGCCTGGGCTGGAAGGTTACGAAGAGAGTTTGGACAGACTGGGGTTATTTTCCTTTGAGCAACAGAGATTGACAGGGGGCTTGATTCAGATGTATAAAACTATGTGGGACATAGATAGGATAGAAACAAAGACACTTTTCCCCTTGATAGAAAGATATGACCTGGGGGCATAGATTTAAGGTGAGGGGTAGTAGGTTTAGAGAGAATGTGAGGAAGAACCTTTTCACCCAGGGGGTGATAGGAACCTGGAACTACCTGCATGTGTGAATGGTACAGGCAGAAACTCTCCAGCATTTCAGAAGTATTTAGATGTACACTTGTGATACCAAGGCATACAAATGCCAGAAAATGGGATTACAATAGTTAGGTGGTAGTTTTTGACCAGTTTGGATGGAATGGGCCAAAGGGCCTTTTATTGTGCTATAGATCCCTATGATTATAACATGGGGCAAAAAAGTTTGGAACACCAAGCTTTTAGAATGTGCTTCCCAACGGTCAAAAGATGAAAAGAACTGCAACTAATCTTGTAAGAGCAGAATTTACCCATTGTAATCCGTCAGTAGGAATGCATTGTCACATCCATTGCCCAGGGCATAGGAAATGGGAGTCCCGTAGTTTGTGGTGTCAGATGATTTCATCCAGAAAGCGCAGGTAAGAGCACTGAGCGTTGGTAATACATTGTCCAATAAAACATAGCCGTAGATCCCCGAAACTTCAAAATCCAGGTTAAAATTGGAGGATAACTCTTAAATAAAAAAAGGATTAAATACAGGCACACCATCTAGCAACATGTGATGAGAAAATAAGATTGTTATTAGGTTCATATTTCAAGTGTAAAACCATCCCTACTAAATCCAATTTGAATTTAAACATGAATAAAATTAACTTGCTCGAAGGTAGGTTTTTTTTGTATCATCTCCCCCAACACTTAATGGCATTACAATCATCAAATCACAAACTATCAATACCTGGGAGTCAACATTGATCAAAAACTTAAATGGAACAGCAATGCAACCATGACTACAGTAGAACTAAACACAGCTTTTGAAACATCCTTTTCTACAGACAGATAAGGTTGCAACAGGTTTAAAGAGCAACTGTTAGGTTTCTTTTGTATTTGTTCAAGGAATATGGGTGTCATTGCATAATCCAACATTTATTGCCCATTCCTAATTGCCAATAAGATAGTGACGATGAACCTTCTTCTTGAACCACTACAATCTTTGTGGCATATGTATACCCACAGTGCTGCTAGGAAGGGAGCAATAGCTAGTCAGAGGTTGGGAAATCCACAGTGAGCAACTTAGCTCCTGTCTTCCCAACACTTATTCATCATATACAATGCAAAAGTCAGAAGTGGGATGAAATACACCCACTTGCCAGGATGACTGCAGTGCCGACAATACTCAAGAAGCTCAACACCAACCATGATATATAACTGGCAAGCTGTTCACCATGTTAAATACTCATTCTCTTCAACACCAATACAGCAGTGTGTATACACCACATCACACAGATTGTACTGGTTCAAGAGGATGAATCATCGTTACCATCTTAATGGCAATTAGGGATGGGAAATAAATGTTGGATTATGCGGTAGCACCCATATCAGTTGAGTTTAGCCCTGATTCTGCAACATATTGAGGCATAAACTGGGCAATTTGAGACCTTTACCTGTTTCACATCGAGTTCCAGTGAAGCTCGGTGGACAGTTGCAGATATACGAGGCTAGATCGTCCACGCAAACCCCATGGTTCAGACATGGATTTGACTCACACTCATTCACATCTAATTCACAGACCAAACCAGTGTAGCCTGGCAGGCACTGACATCTAAAGAAGAGAAGGAATAATTAATCATAATAATTCCACTGCTAGCAAAGAGATGATTGCAAACAAGGCAGCCTTGGTGCAGGTGCACACACGTTACTGTGCATGGTAACTCAATGGGTGGCACACTTGCCTCTGGGTTCAGGAACCATTGTAAGATGTAAATAGGAAAATCAAGGTAGACACTGAGGGAGGCATTGTTGGACGTACTAAACCAAGGCCTCACCTATCTGTACAGATGGTTGAGAAGATCCCACAGCACTTTTTCAAAGAAGAGTTGGGGGAGTTATCCTCATGGTCTGGCCAATATTTATTCCCTAAATAACATCATTGATGCAGATTCTCTGATCCTCATTCCTGTTCGCGGAATCTTCCTCTGTGCAATTTGTCTACCGCGATTGCTAAATTTCCACACCCCTGTTAACTTGTTCCATAGACTTAATAGCCTTTGAGTGAAAAAAAATTTACCTTTCTTTCCCAAACAACAAATAGAAAGAAATGGCCTGATCACAAATGACCCTGAATAAATCCATGATGGAATTGTTATGATTCCTGTAGAGAAAGTAATTTTTAAAATGATATTTCAATTCCCACTGGAAGAATTACATAACATTTCAAGAGTTTCCCTATAGGAAGCTAACTAGAATCTACTTTGGCTAAATACCACCTTTTGTCAACAAATCGCTCTCAAGATGACGGAAAAGTCTCCTATTCCTGGCCTCACTGTCCCCAAAGCCGCCAAGCCATCTCAATTTATTGTTCAGAATTCTAAACAGGTCATGTGATCTCTTTAATACCTCTACTTTCCCTAAACTGAAGAGACAATCTCAAACTAGAACCTTCTCATAAAATTTGCATCCGTAACACAAATATCCTTACCTGAAGGTGCTGATGTCGTCAATGCATGACCCTCCATTCAAACAGGGCAAGCTGGTGCATTCATTAATATTAACTTCACACGTCTCTCCCGAAAAACCAGCCAGACATGTACATTGAAATCCACCAATCAGGTTGTGACACGTCCCATTGTTGTGACATGGTGTTGAAAGGCACTCATTAATATCAAGCTCACAGTGGACACCTTGGAAGAAAGAAGCGGAGCACATTAATTGTTTTAAAAAAACTACCCGGGCAATGTTATGTGAAAGGTTAGAAATCGAGGGTCAGCCTCACTGTTGCAGCATTAAAATTCCTACCAGATAGCCCTGATATCTGAATGTTTATTGAGATCAACACAGCAAACTACAATCAAGAAAAGGGTTCTGGGTGCTCAGTTGGTGACTATATTCAAGACTGAGACTGATAGGCTTTTAGGGATAGATAATCTTGTGAAATGGAGATAGTGAGAGAAGGTTGCGTCAAGATAGAAGGTTATTGGTGATTTCATTGAATGCGGCAGCAGGCTCGAGGGCTGAATGGTCAAATCCTGCTTCTGTTTCACATAAAACTATTGCCTATTGATAAATATCTCCAAAAGGATTTTGTTTCACTTACTATCTGGTTTGTGATGGATTCATGGCAACCAGAAGAGTAAATGAGCTAGAGAAATCTGTACGGTCAAAGAGAAATTTTACCTCAGAGAAATGAATATATAAATGGGATATTTATCAATTCATCTTATAGATCTTATAGCTTACTGACAGAGCGATTGTGAAAATTAATAATGGCTAACCCGTGTGTGACACAAAGAAAAATTTATGAGGGCAATGGCAGAGCTGAAAGCTTATACCTGTCAGGAACTCTGGGGCTCTTCTTTCTAATAAAGAGAAGGGCGAGGGGTGACAAAATAGAGGTATTAAAAGTTCCTAAAGAGTTTGCTAAGTTAGATATAGGCAAGATAATTCCACTTTTGCAGCTATCAAAACAATAGTTACTAATAATGCAATAGTGAATCCAGAAACCGCCTTTACCCAGAGAGTGGTGAGAATGTGGAACTGTGGGGAGTGTTTGAGTTGAATATTTTGTAATAACTTGTTGTTCAATAACATGAAATTTTTAAAATAAATATTGAATATCGAGAATTAGCTATTATTCTTTCATGGGATGTGGGCATTGATCACCTATGTATTGATCATCCCAAAATACATTTATGCTGGGCGGCTTGCTGGGTCATTTCAGGGAATGGGTGAAAATCAACCACATTGCTGTGGCTAGGGATACCAAGGTGTAGAGCTGGACGAACACAGCAGGCCAAGCAGCATTGGAGGAGCAGGAAGGCTGACGTTTTGGGCCTAGACCCTTCTTCAGAAATGCTGTGGCTTCTGGAGACACATGTAGGTCAGAATAGGGAAAGACAGCAGACTTCACTCAATGAGGAGCATTAGTGGATTGTGAAGGTTACCATAATTGAAACTAGCTTTCAAATCCAGATTTTTTAATTAATTCGTGGGCTGTGAAATTTGTTGATTAGGCCAGCATTTTTCATCATCCTTAATTGTCCTGCCGCAGGTGGTGGCGATCTGTCTTCTTGAACTGCTTTGGTTCATTTGCTATAAGTAGTACTGCAATGTTGTTACAGTTTCAGAATTTTAACCCAGCAACTCAAATGGAATGGTGGTATATAAGCTTTACATATGAGGAAAGTTTGAGGACTCTGGGACTATACTCATTGGAGTTTAAAAGGATGAGGGGGGATCTAATTGAAACTTACAGAATACTGAATGGCCCGGACGAAGTGGATGTTGGGAAGATGCTTCTGTTGGTAGGACAGACTAGGACCCGAGGGCACAGCCTTAGAGTAAAGGGAAGACCTATTAGAACGGCGATAAGGAGAAACTTTTTCAGCCAGAGAGTGGTGAATCTATGGCGTTCACTGCCACAGAAGGCTGTGGAGGCCAGGTCATTGAGTACATTTAAGACTGAGAGAGATAGGTTCTTGATTATCAAGGGTTACAGGGAGAAAGCAGGAGAATGGGGTTGAGGAACTTATCAGCCATGATTGAATGGCGGAGTAGATTCGATGGGCCAAATGGCCTAATTTCTGCTCCTATGTCTTATGGTCTTATATTTCTAAGTCAGATGTTGTGTGCTTGGAGTTTTTCGTGATCCCGTGTACCTGCTACCCTTCGAGGTGATAGAATTTGAAAGGTGCTGTCAGAAGAGCCTTGATGAGTTCGTATGGTGGGATTTGAACCCATATCCCCAGAGCTTTATTTGGAATCGCAAGTCCAGTTATATTACTGTTATGTCGCCTTCATTTTTTTTGTCTGTGTGGCTTATGCATCATTTTTACGCAGTTACTTTTTAATAAACAATTCTTTCTTTGGATAATCTGTGATCCTAGGATGTAATCACATATCATCTTCTGTAGCATGTTTGCATTTAATGAGAAGCTAGATTTAAAAAAAACACGAGAGAGAAAGGAATCGATGGTTACACTTGCAGGGTCAGACGAAATAAGACAGGAAGAGGCTCATGTGGTGCATAAATATAAGTGTAGACCAGATGGGCCAAATGGCCTGTTTCTATGCTGTAAATTCTATGCATTTGCTGCTACAATCTAAATGTTGTAATTAAATTCTAATAATTGCTACAAAAATTCCTGTACATTAACAGCTTTGGACGTGGCCTCAATTATTCATGTCACAATTCCACAAATCAGAGAAATAATTGATTTACATAATAAAATTAAGCAAATACCTTACCATAATTTGCCAATGAGAAAACTAAACACGAAAAAGCCCCGTGAATATATTTTTACCTTTAAACCCATCCATACACTTGCAGTAATATGTATTAATCCCATCAATGCATCTTCCATCATGAAGACATGGTTGAGAGATACACTCGTTTACCTCTCGCTCACATAGAATACCTGGAAAATATCAACAGAAATCATACGGTTTGCTAACTTTCATGTCATATCGACACCACAACCCCACCGGACACAGCCTGTCACACCCTTCCAACGTTTGAAACTCTCGAAAGATTGCTTTCCTGGTCTCATATAGCCAGCAAAAGGCAACTCCCAGCTTGGCAGAACGACGCCTACCCCATCCCCAACAACTTGTCGGAACCCTCTCGTGGCTTGCTCACTTATTTTCCTTCGGATTTACCCTGCTCAGGCTGTTTCTTAACTGTTGATAGGCTCGGAGTGAAACAGCACTTTTTATAATCTATAATGTAGCAGCAAATTCTGTTTGTTCTCCTTATGAGGTGACTTGTCTCTGGTAGGCTTCCCTCATGACTGAATTTTCCTGGACATTTTTTGGAGATTTCCAAGGTGATGTAACAGAGAGGCTCGATGAGCATAACAATGTTGATGTGGTGAACATTGACTTCCAGAAGGAATTTGACACAGTGCTACACAACAGATTGTGAGGAAATGTATAAAAGGGTCAGCAGCAACAAAGGTACAAAATTGGCAGAGTGATAGGAAATGGAGTATTGGTCAATGGATATTCTTCAGCTAGAGGAAGGTTATTCCACAGCGACCCGTATTGGAACCCTTGCTTTTCCTGATCTATATTAATGATCTGCATCTTGGTGTGCGGGGCACAATTTCAAAATCTGCAGATGACATGCAACTTGGACGAACTGTAAATGGTGAGGAGGATAGCGTGAAAATGTGAAAGGGCATGAAGAAGTTGATGGAGTGGGCAGATAGATGACAGATGAGGTTCAATACAAAGAAGTGTAAGGTGATGCATTTGATAGAAAGAACATGGAAAGACAATATACAATAGGGGGCACAATTATAAAGAGGGTGCAGGAGCAGAAGGACCTGGGTATATATGTGCACAGATGCCTCAAGTTGGCAGAGCAGGTCGAAACAGATTTTAAAAACCATACAGTATTTTCGACTTTATGGATAGGGGCTCAGAGTACAAGAGCAAGCAGGTGATGTTTAACTTTTATAAGACACTTGTTAGATCTCAGCTGGAGTAGTGCACAATTGTGGGCACCTCATGATAGGAAAGATGGGAATGCATTGGACAGGGTGCAGAAGTGATTTACAAAAATGTTTCCAGGGATGAGAAATTTAAGTTATGAGGATAGTCTGAAGAAGTTGGGACTGTTCTCCATATATAGAAAAATGATAAGAGGAAATCGATAGAGGTTTTCAAAATCATGAGCAGACCTGATACAGTTGATAAGGAGAAACTGTTCCCACCTGTAAAAGGATCAAGAACGAGGGCATAGATTTAAAGAGATTTGCAAAAGGATCAAATGTGATCCACAGTGAGCAGTTAGGGTATGCAATGCACCATGTGATGGAGGCTGGTTAACTGAGGCCTTAAATGGGGTGTTGGAAGATTATTCAGGTAGAAACAATGTGCAAGGGTATGGGAAGAAAGCAAGAAACTGGCAGTAGTTAATTCTGCTCATTTGAAGAGTCAATAGAGACAAGATAGCCTGAATGGGCTCCTTTTGAGTCATGACCTTTCTGTGAGTCTGTGAACTCTCCCACAGCCCCTGGCAAGACCAGCAATCGTTGCCCATTCCTAACTGTGAAAAGTTGCTACTGAGCCACCTTCATGACAGGCTGTGGTGCTTTGACATGGCTGGAGCTTTTCATTTTGGAGGGCAATCATGAGTCAACCATGTTGGTTCAAGTCTGGAGTCACATGTTAAGGACAGCAGATTTCCGTCCCCTAGTGAACCAGGTGGAGTCTTCATAATAGATCTCAGCTTTCAGTTCCAGATTCTTTAACTGACTTTAAGTTCCACCCGGCTGTAGATCAATAAGTCACCGGAAAAATTACAATGCCATTAAATACAGGTAGAGATAAACATGGGCTGGTAAAAGTGGCACATGTGATGGAAAACTTTCTCTGTGGGTGGATTTGAATTTGTTTGATTTATTGTAGTCACATGTCCCTAGGTACAGTGAAAAGCTTTGTTTTGTACAGACAAATCAAAGCAAACAAGCACATATAAATCGTAGGGTGCTTAGACAGAGCGAGGCATACAGGTTACAACTGCTCAGGAGATGTGCAAAGCAAGATCAACATTAGCAAGATCAACACTATTTGAAGTTAGAGATTCCATTCAACAGTCTAACAATGGCAGGGAAGAGGCTGTTTTTGAACCTGTTGGTGCATGTGTTCAAGCCTCTGTGTCTTCTTCTATACCTCAGGAGCTTCCTGAGAGGAAACTTACCCACAAAACCGGGCTGGCACAAGCACACAAATCTTCCAACTCCATCCTGACAAGCAGCATTGTTTTGGCAGGGGTCTGATGCACATTCATTGACATTTGTTTCACAGTTAGAGCCTGAAACACAGACACAGCGTAGAACTGAGATGCTGCTGATACCCATGCCAATATCCCAGGAAAACCCAACTATAAGAATTCACCCACCTGTAAATCCAGGCTGACACACACAAATGTGACCTGACCCAACACTTTCACAGCTTCCATTATGTTGGCATGGTTGCAAGAAGCATTCATTAAACTCCTTCATTCAAAAGGGAGGGAAAAATAAAATACTTATTGTCAGTTAAACTAAACAAGGCCTTCAATCTTCTCCTGGTCTGTGGTTAGATTGTTAATCATAATATGATTGATGTAAAAATGTTCAGAAAATCAATTAGTCCAATGATTAATTTAATAATTTTCATATTTAAATAGAAGACAATGCGAGAAGGTGCAGCACAGAAGGATTTGGGATCCTCAAGCATTATTTATAAAAATCTAGCATCTAAGTTCAGCAGGTAATAGGGAAGGCAAATAGAATGTCTAGCTTTATTTTAAAGGGAAAGGAGCATAAAAAAATGGGGAAGTCTTGCCAACACTATACAAGGCACTAGTCAGATTACACTGTAATACTGTGAGCAATTTTTGTCCCCTTAACCGTAAAAAGATATATTAGCAATTAAGGCAGTCTGGAGAAGGTTCACTATGTTGATTCCATGTGTATAGAGATCTTCTTATGAGAAGAGTTTGAGCAGGCTGGGCTTGTACTTATGGAGTTTAGAGGAATGAGAGGCAAACTTACTAAAACATAAAACATTCCTAGGGGGCTGACAGGGTAAATGTGGACAGACTGTTTCCCCATGTGGAAGGATCTACAACTAGAGGGCATAATCTCAAAGTACCTAAAACAGATGAGGAGGAATTTCTTCTCTCAGATGGTAGTGAATCTATAGATTCTTTACTTGAGGCCTATTGAGGCTGGGTCATGAAGTATATTTTTAATCAGTAAGGGATTTGAGGCATATGGGGTAAAGGCTGGAAAGTGTAGTTCGGGACTGTCAGATCAATTATAATGTCAAAGCATGCAGGAAGATTCTTACCTCGAGTGCTTTGGTTAAAATTTCTCTGGATAGATCAATACTAACCTCTCCGTACCTCAAAACGACATACACATATTTAAAAGTCAGGTCTGGTTACTACATGTAGTTAAATAGCATTAGATAAAGGCAGCCTCTGGACATATTCTTAAAGGGTAATAAACGAGGACAATATCTTATTGAGGGTTGAATCACCAAAATCCATTAACGTTGAGCATGCCTTCAAAATATCTTTTCACCATGTCTGAACTTCATCTTACAATACACAAAATATTGGCTCAAGTTTTCCGATCAGGGTCAGAATCCTGATGTTTAGGTCTGTTAAAAGTTACATCCTTAACTTCTTACAATGCTGAACTAAAGCATTAACTGCAGTATTCTGTTGAGGAAAAGATGGCGTTAAGGCTCCAAAGCCTCTTTGATAGGCTAAAGAAAGAAGGCCAGTGCGTAAGGTGAGTGGGTGAGGGGGGTAAGGTGGCAGGCAACTGGGTGAGGGAGTTGAATGGCAGGTGGGTGAGGGAATGAGATGGCAGGTGGCTGAGACTGGTTTGATGGTATATTCCCGTTCCCTTTTCTTATATTGTTTTCTTTACAATGTGCAACCTCAAGAGTGGCCCTGTTAATTCATACCTGATTTGCTACAAGCATCGATTTCTTCTCCAGAGGGGTTGGTATGAGTTGACTTGCTGACTCCACTATATATCCAGAGTTGAAACCTTGGGAAAAAAACAAATTGTTTCTTTCACTTTTGCTTTCCAGCTTTCTCTGTCATGTCAACCATTTTTAACAGGACAGTTGGATGGGAAAACAACGTTGTGATGTTTCTCCTTACCAGAACAGTCACTTCGAGAGGTGGCTCCAGTGATGGTGGTTGTCCCATAGAATGGACAAGCGAGACAGAATGACTTGCCTGAATCAGGCTGATAGTAATCTCTGGGACAAGGGTAGCAAGGCATTATACCAGAGCGTGAAACGTGTCCTGCAGAACATGGCACTGGGCATGGGGAAAAAAAGGTAGCAATTCAAAATTTATTGTTCTCATTTTGTCACATTTAACCACGAGCAACTCCCTCTTTGTGTCATGTTGCATTTCTTTTTTTAAGTGTCTTTACTTTTCAAAATTTCAGTTCAAATGAGGAACTATCATGGATTTGTCAGAGCATTCTTCACTAAATAGTATGCAGTTTAAGCAACATTCTAGATTTGTATTGATACTGAAACACAATGTTGCAAGAATCCATAAACAAGCTGGATACTAAAGGCTCAATTCCTGATTCGCAAAAATAGTCATAATAGTGCCTGGGAAAGTTCAAGTTTTTAAGTTTCAAGAATTGAAGTCAACTCTTATAAGTCTTAAAATTCAACAGTGTGGACCCAATTCCTGCATTAGTTGAGGTTACAATGAAAAATCTCCTTCTCAACCTCTCCCCTTGCCTGAGGCATGGCGACCTTCAGGTTAAACCAACACCAGTTGTCTCTCCCTCTCTCATTTTCTCTCTCTAGTGAGAGAGCAGCCCGATGGTGTGGTAAGACTGTAGTGACTTTACCTCTTTTAAATATAGACAAATATGCAGGTGGTCTGGTAGGTTGGAGGGGCAGGTTAAGTTTAGAATTCCCCACCTTTGTAACTACAGCACTCCCTGCTGCCTAATCAACCACCACCATCAGTGTAGTGATGTTCAGGGAGCCTTTTGGTATTGGCCTGTCTTAGCCCTCATTACCATGACAACAGCACTGCCAGAGGAGGTAGGCCCTTCATAAGTGAGGCACTGCTAGTTTTTGATTGGGGCAGAGCTGTGAGTGGAGCTGCTTCGGCCATTTTGGGATTTTAGGAATCTGTGTAACATCTGCAGTATTGAATGAATGGCATTCTGCCCAGTTTAAACTTAGACCACTGAAGCTCCAACCAAGGTGATCAAACTGTGGGTGCAATTGAGATTTACATTTAGTTTTTCAATGTTGAATGGGCAAGAACATAAGAAGGGAAATAAAATTGCTCGAAGGACAAAGGAAGAAGAGAAACTTCTCTCATTCCATAATCACTGGTGGGAGGGTTGGTACAGAGAGTAGGATTGTGACGACCATGAGTGAAAATTAAAGTTACATCCCATTCAAGCGAAGACCTATGCATTAGCAATGCACTTGCCTGGGTTGAGATTATTTTCTAACTTGTGGAATCCAACTGCGCGGCATGTTTCCTCCAAGTTCATTCTACCTGAAATGCTTTTGCAAGCAAGGGTGGCATGGTGGCTCAGTGGCCAGGGCTGCCTCATAGTGCTAGGGACCGGGGTTCAATTCCAGCTTCAGGTGACTATCTGTGTGGAGTTTGCACATTCTCCCTGTGTCTGTGTGGGTTTCCTCTGAGTGCTCTGATTTCCTTCCACAGTCCAAAGATGTGCAGATTAGATGGATTGGCCATGTTAAATTACCCATAGTGTCAAGGGATGTACAGGCTAGATGCATTAGCCATGAGATATGCAGTGTTATAGGATAAGGATAGTGGAATGGGTGGGATGGGCTGAATGGCCTGCTTCCAAACTGTAGGGATTCAATTTTGAGATGTTTTCTGAATAGCACTGCACAGAAATATAATGATTTTCCACCAACTTTCTCTCTATGCTGTTAATACAGGTATTCACCGACTTATTTTAAACAGATGCATAAAAATCACAAGTGCAGCAGTAGCAGAGGCATATTGAGGTTTTTGAACAGGTAAGACTGCCAATCAGAATTCCTTTTAATGAGAATGAGACGGATTGCCTTATTTCACTAGATATTCTGCCAATGTTATCACTTGAATAAGTACAATAAATGAAACGAGCATCTTCAACCAATAAATATACAAACAATCATTTCACAAGTGACCGGCCTTATTTAAAAAATGGGGAGGATGTGAAGGGTGTGTTGTATAAATGTTCTAGGACTTTTTTGAGATGTACCTCCGCACTCAGAAACTTCAATGGCTCCTCTTTTCACTGTGGTCAAACCATCTGGACACGAAATGCATCTCTTTGCACTGTATGCTGGCTGAAAGGTTCCTAATGGACAAGATTCACACATCTCCAGGCCATTTGAAGAATATGTTCCTGGTTTGCATTGACCTAGCACAGAGAGAGAAAGAAAGTCAGGCAACATGGGATACCTGAAATTTTTAAATTACTTGCGACTTACATTGTGCCGTTCATGACCTCAACATGACATAACAGCTGTCAAGTTGTGATCACTGTTGCAATGTTGAGAAATGCAACATCATATTTGTGCACAGCAAGATCTCACATGCTCCAGATGATCACAATACCAAAGAATTGGCCGTCCCTGACAATGTTAAGACCCCCTCAAAGTTACCTCATTATTGCTATGAATAGCATAGTTGGAAATTAAAGGAGGTATTCAACTTCGAGGGTTATTTTCAAAGGAATTTAGAAAGAAATAAAAAGGCACACCTAACAGGGTCTGTTTCCATGTTGTATGACTGTATAACTCTGTGTTGAGGACGTTAAGACTATCTTGAACTGTGTGCTTCAATTATCCTGGTTCCCAGATGTTTGACTCCAGGGGACTGAATTTTTGTTCCTCGGTCAGGACAGTGGAGTTAAGGCCATTCCTTAGTTTGGAAACTTGACGCATAGGAAGTGCTCGGAAATGGGGATTTTCATTCTGGGGTGGCTGGGTTTGCTGGCTGCTGGGCTAGGTCACTTGGGAATGAGCGCAAAGGTAGGAGGCTGTGCAAGGCCTGATCCAACACGGAGCTGAGGTTTAACAGTAAACAGTTTAACTCTGTTTAACAGAGTTTAACAGAACTAAAACAGTTCTCTAGCCCTCAGTGCTCACGCCCATTCGCCTTTCCTCCAACACAGTGTTAGTGACACATCCTTGCCAACTTATTTTACTTTCTATTGGAAGGGTTGAAGTGTTTAGGATTTAAACATTTTCCGATTTGATACACTGATCTATGGCCCAAGCACTCCTGGGTTAGGTAATAGCGCAATCAAATGCTGCGTAACATGAAACTCCCTCTACTTTCTGCCAATGTTCAGAGGAAGTTCACACCCAATATTAAAGGAGTAAGACCAAATAGGGTGGGATTTATTGAACGGTTCAAACTACCTTCCACCTCCTTGCAATGTAGTAAATTATGAATTTACCTACACAATGAGAAAAAGAACACTACAATCAGCTAGACAATATCCAGTTTAACTGGCTGACAATATGTGGATATGACAGCCTGGCTGAAGCCTAAACCCTACAACTTACTGTCAATCCAGGAAACAAATGGATGTATTCAGTGAGATCCGGAAACATAGTCAGATGGGGAGAAAAGGTTAACTAAAATTAGTAGAGTTAGCTGGTTAACACATAATAACTGGTGTGCACTGTGCACTGTCAACCTGTATTTTGTATATGATATGCATATGCCATATGTTCCAGGATGCACTGTGGAACAGGTTTGTAGGCATCAAGATTTACTAATATTTTGAGGCTAAATGCCATGGCGCACCATTGCCAGATCAGTGAACTCCACAGAATGGAAATGGACCTTGAACACTTTGGATTGTGTCAACTTTGCAGCAGCTGATGGACAGCCTGTAGTCAATTCAAAGAGGGTTTTCAAGGAGCCGGCACAAGACAAAATGGGCTGAATGGCCTTCTTCTGTTCTGTGATAAATATGTGCTATCTTGTGTCCATGACCTGTAAGAACCAAATGCTTATCATCAACCTCATCTGACTGGAGACTCTGAAGATTGGAGCAGCATGTGAGTTCGTGCATGTGTAATCAGAATTGCTTTTGGGTTGCCAATCCTCCAGCATTGCCCTGTCGTCAGTAGGAATTGAAAATTGATTTCCAGGACAAATCTAGGAGATAAAAGTCATAATGGACATGAAAAACAGACCTTTTTCACTTTAGTTGATTAGAAATCTAAGTGTTGGAGGTTTATAAAGAAAGGCTGCTCAATTGACAATCAAGTGGGCAATGAAGAGTTTGCTCCATTTTTAATTGGACAGGTTAGCAACCAATGGGATAGCAGTGGGGCTGTTAGAAAGAGAATGTCATATGTGATGAAATCTCCAGACCAGACAGGAACCTTTACATTGCTCGTTGTTAAATTTGTACTCTTGGTTAAAGCTTTACACAGGGAAACATCTGTAAAATGTCATTTCTTACCTTTGCATTCATCAGTGCTCCTGCCATGTAGATATTCAGTCGAAGTGCCAGGGGGACACATCTTGCATTCCAGCTGTCCCTCTTCATCCTGATAGGCCCCAATCCAGCAGCTTTCACAAGCACGGTGTTCCAATGAGTAATATGTCCCCACTGGGCAATTCACTGCAAAATGTTTTTTTTTGCACAGGGAAGGGAGAAAGCATAAGGAAAAATTGTAAATCAGGTTTTCCATTGATTTGAATTGTGTTCAAAGAAAATTCTTTAAAAGACTTGCATATATTTCATGACCATAGGACACCTTACAGCGAATGAGGTACTCTTTGAAGTGTCGTCATTTTTGTAATCCAGGAAATGTGGCACACAATTGATATAAAGCACGCCCTCACAACGCGCTAATGACCAGATCATTGGTTTTTGAGATGCTGTTTGAGAGATAAACATTTCCCAGGACACCAGGGATTGCTCCATTGCTTGTCTTCAAAATTCTACCATGGGCTCTTTTGCATCCACCCAAATGGGCAGACAAGGCCTTGTTTTGATGTCTTATCTAAATCTATTAGTGCATCATTCCATAACCAAACCTCTTTCCAATAGGCAGCTCTTTTAATTCTGAAAGGTCATCATCACCAGCTCAAGGCATTGGACTCAGTGACTGTGAAGGAATGGCAGTATATCTTCAAGTAAGGATGGTGTGTAACATAGAGGCCAACTTGAAGGTAGTGGAGTTGCCGTGCTGCCCTCTGCTGCCCTTGTCCTTCGAGATGGTAGGGGTTTGGATGGTGCTGTGGAAAGAGGCTTGTCAATTTGCTGTAGCACATCTGTGGATGGTGAACACTATTGCCACTAAGCACATGGGGAGAGAATGAACAGCTAAGGTGGTGGACATGGTACTAATTAATCAGGCTGCTTTGTCTTGGATGGTATCTAGCATTTTATGTGTTGTTGGCTGCACTCATCCAGACCCAGGTGGAGAGTATTCTAGCGCACTCTTGACTTGTATGTTGTAAATGGTGGACCGGCTTTAGGGAGACATGTCTTACATAGTCATGATCCCAGCCTGACTGTGGAAACACTGAGCATAGATGATCCATAACGGTATATGGTGGAGGACAATGGCACATAAAAGTGGGGGAATTAATGGGGAGAGTTAATTTAAAATGATAGAAAAATAAAAAGGGTCGAAAGAGAGAAAGAAATAGGGAATGATAAACATGAAGACTTGAGGTCAAATTGACTAAAAGCAGTAGGTGCTCCTTTCTATCAACAGTATTTCAATTTAATTATAGTATTCAAACTCTGAATACTTACCACACATACGTTCCTTTAACACAGAGCCTGGTCTGCAGAATAAAGCTGCTTTACTGCTCTCCAGTGACTTGCTGTCTGACTGAACCACCTCAGAGGCAAAAGAGAATTGGTAAAGTGGGTCACTGTCCAATGCCCTCTTCAGCCGTCTCGAAACATGGTCCAATGTGTGAAAGAGTCGCCTTTGATTATCTGATTCTGCCGTAGCATTTTTGTCATCAGGCAACGCTACACTGGCTGCAAATTGGAAAGATAAAAAAAAATTGTCACTGTCTGATTTCATCTGCCCATATGTATTATTGCTTACAGAAACACCCTGAATCTCTACAAGACACTTGTTGGACCTCAACCAGAGCATTGCACCCAATTCCTGGCACCACAATTTGGGAAGGATGTGAAGACATTGGAGACGGAGTAGAAAAGATTAATGAAAATAATTCCAGGGTGAAGTACTTCAGTGACATGGATAGAGTGGAGAAAATGTCCCATTAATAAGTTGAGAGGAGATTTGATAGACGTGTTCAAAATCATGAGGCATCTGGAGAGTAAACAGAAAGGAACTGCTTCCATTGGGGGAATGGTAAAGAACCAAAGGACACTGATTTGAGGAGACCAGCAAAGGAGCCAGTTGGGGCATGAGGTCGAACCTTCTGCTGCAGGGAGGGATTAAGAACCAGAATACACTGCTTTGGAATTTGGCAAAGGCAGCTTCAATCGAGGCTGAAGCAAGGATCTGCAAGAATTACAAGAAAAGAATTTGCAGGGTGATGATGGAAAGGCAGGTGTGTGATTTTAGCTAGGAAACTCTTATAGAGGCACAGAATCTCCTCTACAAATCATCAACATGTCAATCATTGTGATGCTCCACCCTCCCACATTAAGTGAAAAACAAGACTTTGGACAATTCTTCAGCTTCAGTCAAACTGTCACTTCCCCCAAATCTGACATGATTATAACCAGTAAACAAGACTGTTCAAAGAAATTAAGCAATGATTACATCCCTTTGTAATAAGCCCATTGATTTTCCTCTACAGCTTATTGGCAGCAGTGACTAGCCTTTTCTTATCTGAGACTTCAGGGCAATTCTGGATGGTCAGTGAACCATCTTCTGTTGCATACTTACCACTGATATTAAATACAAGGTGGATTTTCTGGTCTGTCTCTGCAATGTTGAAGTTGACTCTCCGCTTATATTTCCTCTTTGTCTTCAGAGACAGCAGATCAGGAGCTGCAGTTACAGGCTTCTGTCTGTTTGACCTTTTCTGTAATCTGGAGGTTTTCACCGGTTCATAAGAGTATTCCATTTCGCTCAGTGGCTCATAATTATCTCCCCATATTTCTGGCCCTAATGGCAACAGAATATTTTCCTAGTTAGTGATGATCACTGTTTAATGCTAAAGTTAAGAAAACATTAATTTTGAGGTGAAAGCTGCAATGGAGCTATTTAATAACATGCCTGACGTATAAAGAAAATCCAATAGGACCTGAGGCAGAAATGCTGTCAGAAGAGAAAGCAGCCTCAGCTCAAGTTAACCAAACCCGAATAATTTAGCAACAGGATGTGGCCATTCAACCCATTCAGCCTGTAACACATTCAACTAGATCATGGCTGCTCTAATCGAACCTTGATTTGGGAACTTTTAATATAGCTAGCTCCAAAAATATTAGTTTTGAAATTTTCAATCAACCACCGATCTCAATAGCTTCTGGATCTGGAAGGAAGTTCCATATTCCACTCTCCTTTGTGAACAATCCAGCTCCAAATTTAAGTCCTGTGTTCTGGACTCCTTTCACCTATCAAATCATCTTAAGAACCTTCATTAGATCACCCTTTGATTTTCGATACACAAAGGAATACAAGCCGAGTACAGCAAACCGTCCTTATAATTTTACCCTTTTAGCTCCAGTACCATTCTGGTGAATCTGCGCCAGCCTCCTCTCTGGCTAATAGATCTTTCCTGAGACGTTGCGCTCAGTACTGAAGACAGTATTCCTAATGGGCTCTAACCAGTGCTTTCAATAGCTGTAGGAATCTTCCACTTAGTACTTAACACATTTCAGATAGTGAGACTATAAGCTATTTAATTTGTTTCGACTTCTACATATCTTCTTGAAGGATGGATCAGTTTCTAAGTGGGACAGGTGGATTGGCAGCCTTCAGGTCCTTTCCCCAGTTACTGTCTGGAAACCAGTCACCAAGAGCACAGAGAGGTGGCAGAGCAGGTTGGAAGAGCTGAATGATCCACTCCTGTTTGTTATGTTCTTGCTTCCTTGTCAACCAATATGAAACAAAGCCCCAAATAATACTTCACCCCCATTCTCCATTTTCCACCTCTCTCCCCATCACCTCATATTGGGACATTGTGCAACACAGGCTGTAGCATTATAAAGGAGCAAAGTCAGATATCATACCGATGATGGCAAAACCGTTGTCATAGTTATAATTGTACTCCAGGCACTGTGCTTTGGGTGAATCTTCCACATTACATTCAACATCGTTATCATCGCTGCACAGGGAAGGAACCTAAAGATATTTTAAAAAGAAAAGGCTAAGTCATTTCAGCATCTCAGACCAATCAGGAGTGTCAAGAAATCTGCAAGTAATGGTATTAATGTCACAGGGTAGTATACATGAACATAAAACTTGCTGAACCTCTTCAATAAACATAGTGTTTACAGTTTGGGCACAATTTAGTAACAACTTCCACTAGGCCCACAACTCTCTGATAACTCCGTCCTTCCACTTCTCGCCTCTTGCCCATTACCAGTTTTTATTGCTTCACTATGTGTGTGTTTGCCTAGACCTTAAGATCAGGGACTCCCTCGTTAAACATCCTTGTTTCTCTACCTCTCCCTTCTCCTTTAAGATGCTCCTTAAAATCTATCTTGTTCCTCTCTGAATTTCTCTATGTGAGATATTTGAATCTATTCAAAGCACAATATACAGGCAAGTTGTTATAGATAATTTTCCCACACCACACAACTTTGCTGTGCAGATACGGGCTTTTTTTTACCGTTTCAGTTAAGGCGTTGCCGAAAGTCCTCTCGAAGTTATCCAACAGGATGAAGTCATCACATCGATTTACGTTGTACTGTACCTCAAACTTCTTCTGGCCGTTATTCCCGAAGCGTTCCACTGCAATGGGTCAAAAAGAGAGAGGGTGCTCCGTTCAAGGGCTCAAATCAACATAAAAGCTTTGCCCTGAGAATCAGGAACCTGACATCAGGACCCTACCCAGATCCTGACCCCATGTATTTTGATGGTGTTCTTTGGCTCACTTTAACTGGAGCCAGTCGATCAGTAGGCAGTGAAGGCGTTTGCTGACCCCTATTAGGTAGGACCAATTAGGATGTGAGGGAGGCTAGCAGCCCTGCTCTCTGGCTGCAGTTTGAGTAAAACCGCAGTGATCTGAGGGGGACAAAAGGCAAAACAATCATCAGAGGGAAGGAGGAAGGGAACCAGAATGATTCACTTAACCTGCAACACTCTGAGCGCTTGAATGGTGACCACTGCAATGATAGGCCAAGCTGGCTTTCTGACTATTCATTGATTCCATGTAAATCTGCTGGGTCCTCCTGTCGTGTGCAATGTAATTTATTTTACTCACACACATTTCCCTCACAACAATGCTGAGATAGTACTAGTTTCTAAGTGTGCAGCAAGTGCAGTGCTTTAAAATGCCTTCCAGCTCAGCTTCTGGTGGCTTTTCTCTGAGTCAACGCCCAGGCCTAACTAATGAAGCACAGTGAGCTGAGATGAGTGAGCAGCATACTCACATAATTAAACAGTTAAATATTGCCTTCACTGAGCTGACCAGTCATATACACCATGGTGGGCCCCATAGCCACCAGGAAAGATGCAGATGAATGGAGCCCGATGGCCTCATCATTTTCCTTAATTGGCTTTGCTTCCAGTGTCAGATAGGTGGCCACTGGTTCTGCAGTGTTACTCCTGGTAATTGTCTGGGAGGTAGGAGAGGGGGGGAGGAGGTGCTACTTTGACATGTTTTTTGCCACTTCCCAGAATTTCCTTGACCTGCCATATCCAAACCCAACTCCATTATGCCAGTGACATTCTAGCTAGTGTCCTTGTTCAGCCAACAGTGGCAGAAAATGGAGGCAGAAAGGCTACCAATTGGAGATCTAGTCAGAATGCACAGCTGTACTGGGTTGGCATTGCTCCTTGTGCTTAAGATAGGAGTCTTGCGCCTGATCACCAATCATTAATTCATCCTGGGGCTTCATGTGAAAATCCAGTGCCAATACAGCGTCAGCAGCAATTACCCGATCTGCGCAAAATCACTCACGTAAAAGCAAAGTACTGTGGATGGCAGAAATCTAAAATAAAAACCAAAAGTACTGGAGAAACTCAGCAGCTCTTGCAACATCTGAGGACAGAACAACAGAGTTAACATTTTGAGCCCAGTATAACTCTTCTTCAGAGCTGAATGGAGCCGGAAAATGATGCTTTATATGCTGTTGGCAAAGAGGGAGGAGGAGCAAGTGGTATAGATAGTGATTATGCCCAGAGAAAAAGACAAAGGGAGTGCTAACGGTAGTAGAGGGGAGATATAGATGAAGAATAGGTGTTAATGGTAGGTGTGAATAGAATAAAATAGGTCAGAGATCGTAGGAACTGCCAATGCTGGAGTCTGAGATAACAAGGTGTGGAGCTGGATGAACACAGCTGGCCAGGCTGCATCAGAGGAGCAGGAAAGCTGACGTTTTGGGTCTGGACCCTTCTTCAGAAAATAGGTCAGCTCTGCTGACAGCAAACTCATACAACAAGACACTTAGGGAAAGAGGGAAGAGGGTATATTCAACTGGAGGACAATGTTCATGGCCTGAAGTTGGTGAACTCAGTGTTGAGTCCTTAAGGCTGTAAACAGCCTCAGTAGAAAATGAGGTGCTATTCCTCCAGTTTACGTTGGGCTTTGCTGCAGCACTGTGGTAGGCCTAAGGCAGAAATGTTAGTGTGAGATTAAGATGGCGTGTCTCAATTTTAAGCAACTGGAAGTCAGGGTCATTCTGATGGTCAGAGAAGAGATGTCCCGCAAAGCTTTCAGTCTCATTCTGCCTTGACAATGTGGCACAATGGTAGAAACGTTAGATCCGCTGAGCTCAGACATTGGGAGCAGGACCACTCACTCTCTGTTCCATCTTCTTGACCCTGTGAAACCTGTGAAATCTAGCCCACTATCGATACTTATCCAATGGGAGATGATAAGAGTTGAGATGAATTTTGAGTTTGGGATTTGAGATGTTCACCCATCCTTTTGGGTTTACAATTGTTCACTATCAAAGCTGCTGGTAAAACCATCTGACCAACTATTTTGCACTCATTGTGAAAGGAATATTCGATTAATAGAAAGCTGTGTCTGGTGAGTATCACTTACCGGAACAGTCAGGCCTCACAGATGAGGCAGCTGGAATCCACAAGCCATCATGGGCACAATAATAATTTTCAACAGATTCGACAGCAAGTCCATATCCATCAAAGCAGTACAGAGTGCAATTCACACGCAGATCATCAGCAACGCAAGAGAAGCCTCCATTCAGAGGAGTGAAAGGCACTCCACAAACTGTGTCTAGTGAAGAAAATAGGTGTGAGTACCAGGATTGACCTTTCAGAGTCCCTAGCATATATTCTCACTACTCACTGGATGGGTGCAGCTGCAGTGACACTCAAGAAGCTCAAAAATGTGATCTTAGCTCTTGGTCTTGGTCTTACTCTCCACCTAGTCAATTGTATTGCACCTGCAGTATGCAGGATTTACACTGCTGCAACTCACTGTGATTACCCTGATACACCTTCCTCTCTACCACTGAGCGGGACAAAAGCAACAAAGTCATGGGAGCTCAATCATCTCCAAGTTATCCTCCAAGTCATATGCCATCCTGACTTGGAAATCGGCCTTGTGCCATCACTGGGTCTGTACCCTGCAATTCCCTATCCACCACTGCAGTGGGTCCTCAAGCAGAGAAGGTTCAAGGAGAAGGTTTATCCCTCTGTGTCTCAGGGAAACTAATGAACCAGGCAATTGATGTGACTGCACCAAAACATCGCTCACACCTTGAGAAGTTAACTAAACTGAGATGGCCCCTGAAATGTCAATTAAGGGGATTTTTTGGGTGAAAAAGACAGCATCAGTGAGAATAGGCAACAACACCTCCTCCATGACAATCCTCAACACCGGCGCCCTGCAAGGCTACGTACTCAGCCCCCTACTATAATCCCTATACACTCAGACTGTGTGACCAAACTTCGTCCAAAATCCATCTACAAGTTTGCTGATGACACCACCATTGTAGGCCGGATCTCAAACCATGATGAGACAGAGTACAGGAAAGAGATAGAGTGCTTGGTGGAGCGGTGTAAAGATAACAATCTCTCCCTCAACATCAACAAAGTGAAAGAGCTGGTCACTGACTTCAGGGAGCAAGGGGGAGGGCATACCCATGTCTACATCAATGAAACTGAGGTGGAGATGGCCAAGACTGTTGAGTTCCTAGGAGCGATGATAACCAACAATCTGTCCTGGCCCACCCACATTGATGCAATGTTCAAGAAAACACAACAACGCCTTTACTTCCTCAGGAGGCTAAGGAAATTCAGCATGTCTGTAAAAACTCTTACCAATTTTTACAGATGCATCATAGAAAGCATTCTATCCAGGTGCATCACAGCTTGGTATGGCAACTGCTCTGCCCGGGACCCTAAGAAACTACAGAGAGTTGTGAACACAGCCCAGTGCATCACGCAAGCCAACCTCCCATCCATTGGTCTCCACCTATACTTCTCGCTGCCTCGGAAAGGCAGTCAAGATAATCAAAGACCCCTCCCACCCCGGTTATAATTTCTTCCAACCTTTTCCACTAGGCAGAAGATATAAAAGCTTAAAGACATGTACCAACAAATTCATGAACAGCTTCTTCCTCGCTATTACTAGACTTCTAAATAGACCTCTCAAATTTCAAATTAAATGTTGACCTCACACTTTGTGCACCTTCCCTGCAGCCGTAACTTCATATTCCTTGCTCTGTTCTATTACCCTAATGCACTTTGTATGGTGTGATCTGTCTGTACTGCATGCAAAACAAAACTTTTCACTGTATCTAGGTACATGACCAGAATAAATCAAATCAAATCAAATTGAGTGTTCTACTTGGTTAACTTTATTGAGTTTATATCAGATATTAAGACCCAAAATGATTCTGAGGGGAAGCAAGATGCATACACCTCCTCTAGAGAATAGGACTACAGCAGTTCAAGAGGGCATCTCACCACCACGTTCTCAAGGGCTACTTGGGCCGGGCTATAAATGCTGGCCTAGCCAGTGATGCTCACATCCCATGAATGAATAAAGAAAAGAGTCGTGTTCTTCAATATACATTAGATTTGGGTTTCGACTTTGAGCTTAAATCACAATGCCACAGCCCCAACTGTTGTAAGTAAGGCTTTTCCCAGATATAGAGGAACACCTAGTCAAAGCAAATATGAAAAAGTCAAGTGGGTTGGAGTGAATGTCTATAAAAGTTACAACACAGAAGGAAACAAATTAGTGCTTCATGTCCGTGCTAGCTCTCTGCAAGTGCAACATTCCTTTTACAGTTTTCCCAAAGCGCTGAAATGTCTTCATTTTCCTCAGGTGCTTATCCATTCAGCTTTTGAAAGTCACAGTTGAATCATGGCTGATCTGATTGTGGCTTTAATCTCACATTCTCTCCCATCCCCAATAACCTTCAACTCCTTTGTTCATCAAGAATCCATCTAAGTCTGCCTCCACTGCTGTTTGGACAAGAGAATCCCACAAAATCACAATTCTCTCAGAGAAACTATTTTTTCCTCATCTTTTTAAACTATGCCCACTAGTTTAAGTGTCTTAGAGTCAGAACGGTGTGAAAGTAGGGCATTCAGCCCCTCAAGTCCACACCAATCCTCTGAAGAGCATCCCACTGAGACCCACGCCATTCCCTATAACCTTGCACTTCCCATGGCTAATCCATCTAGCCTGCACACCTTTACAGCGTGGGAGGAAACCTACACTTACACAGGGAGAATGTGCAAACTCCACACAGATAGTCACCCTAGGGTGGAATCGAACCCTGGGCCCTAGCACTATGAGGCAGCAATGCTAACCATTAAACCACCTTTTTTCTTGAAGGGAAATTGTCCTTTCAGGATCCACTTTGTCAAGTTCTTTCAGGTTTTATATATCTCAGTAAGGTCACCCTTCATTTTTGTAAACTCCAGTGATATAGGTTCAGCCTGTCCAATCTTTCGTTGTAAGATTTTCCCCACTTTGCCCCCTTCCCGGGTATAAGTCAAGTGAACCTTCTCTTATCTGTTTCTAACATATTTATATCCTTTCTTAAACAAGGAGATCAAAACAGTACACAGTATTCCAGATGTAGCCTCACCAATGCCCTATATCGATATATTAAAGCAAAATTTTCCTACTTCTTTATTTCGTTCTCCAAGCAATAAATGATGACATTCTACTAGCCTTCCTAATCAATTGTTGTACCTCCATGCTAACATTAGCGGTTCATGTACTAGGACACCCAGATTTGTCTGCATCTCAGAGTTTTCTCAACATTTTCCTTTCTAAGAAGGACGACCTGAGATTCTCCAAACTATGCACATTCCAGAAGTCCCTCATCACTGGAACAATTCTCATCAATCTTTTCTGCACCTTTCCTAAAGTTTTGCTAGGCTTTCTAAAGTGTGGTGCTGAAAATTGAGCACTATACTCCAGTTGAGGCTGCATCAGTGTTTTACAAAGGTTCATTATAATCTCAGATAACAAGGTGTAGAGCTGGATGAACATAGCAGGCCAAGCAGCATCAGAGGAGCAGGAAAGCTGACGTTTTGGGCCTAGACCCTTCTTCAGAAATGGGTCTAGGCCCGAAACATCAGCTTTCCTGCTCCTCTGATGCTGCTTGGTCTGCTGCGTTCATCCAGCTCTACACCTTGTTATCTCAGATTCTCCAGCATCTGCAGTTCCTACTATCTCTTCATTATAATCTCCTTGCTTTTGAACTTCATTGGCCAGATATTTTCATGTTTTGTTTCAAAGTGGAGCACGTGATGACTAACACGTTTCCCCTCTCAGTGAAAAAACACAAGGAAAGTGGTGCCAAGGGTTAGTGGCAAGGGCAGAGGGTGGCTTTCTGGGTCCTACCTGCTTGGTTTCCTCTTCATTGATTTATAATGAACATCGGAAAATTGAAAATAGGAACAGAATTTCGTCCCTCAAACTTGCTCCTTTACTCAACATGATCACAGCTGATCTTCTACCTTAATTTCACTTTCTCATTCAATCCCCTGTCTCTTAATTCCCTTAATACTGACCTATGGTTCCCTGTTTTTTTGCCCCCTCCTTTCTTGAATAGCTAGGCTGCATTCACTGCTTTCCAATTTAAAGGGGCCACTCCAGGATTGAGGAAATGACAGATCAAATCAAAATTTTGTCAGCCATTTCATTTAAACAATGCGCCTATGAAGACCTGGGGGTTTGTCAGCTTCTCTAGTAGTTTTTTTCTTTAGAATTTTGACTTCCTAGCTCTTTGAATCTGTTATTCCTTATTTCACAGCACAACACCAGTGTCAAGATCAAACCTAACCCCTTTAGTGCTTGAAACTGTTGATAAGGATTAGTACGTTTAGGCTCACTAATGAACCACTGAATCTTACAGTGAGGCCATTCAGCCCATTTGTGTCCATGGTACCTCTTTGATAGACCAATCCCTGCTCTTTTCCCACAGATCTGCAAATTTCTCTTTTTTCATGAATCTATCCAATTTCCTTTAGATTACGGATTCTGCTTCCACCACCTTTCAGGCAATGCGTTCCTGATCACAATAGTTCACTGTGCAAAATGGAAAAAGCAATCTCATTTCCCTTTGTCTCTTTCGCCAATTCCCTTAAATTGGTGTCCTCAGGTTAGTTAATTGATGCAAATAAAAAATTTACAAAAGTAAAATGCAAGTGTTTTGATTTGGTGAACACAAGCATTGTCTTGTACCTCTGATGATGATTCGAATATCACAGATCCTGTTATTGCCAGAAGGATCTGTCGCAGTGTAACGAACAACTGTCTCTCCACGTGGGAAAAAGTCTCCAAGCGAATGGGTCTTCTTAATCTTCACTGGAGCACCTATAAACAAGGACATGGAGGGATTTCAGAAATAGAGCAAGTAGAGTGTCTTACTGCATGTGGCAAGACAGTACATTGGCAATGACTGGATTCATTCATCTATCTCTGGGATTGATATTTGTCTTCTCGCCCTGCGTGTTAAACTGGAAAAGTGGATTGCCTACCCTATATAGAGCTCAAGGTATACAGAGTCTGCATGGGTCCATGACAAGCTGGCTGGAAGTTCCCTCCTCGGAAGGACAGTGGCAGTTACAATTATAATTGGGTGGTTTGTCATGTGTTCCTTGATACACAGCCAGAGACAGATATCAAATCCACAATTAAACAACTGGCAATTAAATAATCTTGCATTTAGAGATTTATATACATCCAATCTGTTTCACAATCTGAAAGCTGTCCACATTGTTGATAATAATACCTGAATTATCTGAAAACTGTGGTTCCTCCCATGTAGCCTGATACGTCTCGTCATGTGTCAAGATGGGAGATGGTGAACGACACCTGTCAATCACAGGGGGTTCAGTATCTAAAAGAATGTAAACAAAGCATTCCCTAAGTAAACTCTGCCCTGAGTTGTTAATCAAACATAAATAATGGTTCATTGGAATTAGTCAGGTTGCACAGCACAAAGACAGAACTATTCTAATACTCAGCTCCCACTTTCCTTTCAGCAAGTGCATTCCAATCAGAATAATTCACTCGGCAAAAAACTCCTCGTCTTTGATGGAATAGCACGCAATATTCTGAAAGTTCTCATTTCAGACATGCTTTCCCATTACCTGACAGGGTGGTCTAATGTTATTCCCTATCTGGTCAAATTCATCTCATATTAGAAGTATAAAACTATCAAGCAAAATATAAAATAAAAAAAGCATATTAGAAGTATTTTGTGGATATTTAAACATCTTAAACTGCCAATTCCACTGCTATCTGGGTCCACTTGTCCAACAGCAGTTCACCCTCGACCTGAAGCGGCTGTCTATGGGCACCATAAATGTCCTGGGCCCAATAATATTCATAGAATCCCTACAGTGTGGGAACAGGCCATTCGGCCCAACAAGTCCACACTGCCCCTCTAAACAGCATCCCACCCAGACCCACCCTCCCATGTCTAACCCACCTAATCTACACATCCCTGGGCACTATGGGCAATTTAGCATGGCCAACTCACCTAACCTGCACAGCTTCGAACTGTGGGAAGAAACCGGAGCCCCTGGAGGAAATCCACACAGACACGGGGAGAAAGTGCAAACTCCACACAGACAGTTGCCTGAGGGTGGAATCGAACCGAGGGCCCTGGTGCTTGAGGCAGCACTGAGCCACCATGCCACCCTTCATGTAGCACTTATTTCAGGAGGGAGGTCTGAGACACGAGCTCCAGTTTCAAGTCCAACTCCATGACTTGATGGCGATGGAAAACGCTTTCACATTGAGGCCATCAACCTGTAAATCCTTCTAAATATACGGCTGTGAGAGCAGAGAGTTTCAGAAGAATTTCCTGCCAGTTATGCCTGTAGTGGAGTGGCTCCCCTGAAATTATAGCCTCTGGTTTAGGTTAGTGACCCGCTTCCAGGAATAATCAAGCAACAGAAACAAACATAGTAGTCTGCATAGTCTGCCTCATATACCTCTAGGTTGGGGAAGTCTATAAGTCTATCCCTGGAAGCAGTTGGGGTCAGGAGGACAAATAACGGATGGATAGAAACTTTGCCTGACCTTGTTGCCCCCCTAGCAGAGTGAGACCGCAGGACATTCTGAGAGATATTGTCACTTAAGGATGTCTGAAAAAACCAAAAATATTCTTGTGTCACACAAGCCCTGAAATGTCTCATTTCTCCCTATTGCAGTCAATTCCCATAATTTCTAACTCTTGGTTTGATGTTTACTGTGCAGGGAAAGTACTTTCCACCAGAGTTTGAAGTCCCTGTTGTGTAAACAGTATGTATTTGTATTTATTCTTGCAACTGAAATTTAAACAATGCATCCAAGGTTGGTTAATTCATCAAAATTTGAAATGCTTTAACCCAAGAAAAGTGCACAATTCTTCCCATTGCTACATTAGCTCAGAAAAAAATTATTAACAGTATGCTTTAAGAAGAATTTGAAATTTACAGGATTGGGAAGGGAGTTATGGTATTACTGGACTGCCCAAGGCAATCAGACTACTCGTAATCTTAGTGTTGTATTTGATCCCAAGATGAGCCATTGATCACATAACCATGCTATCACTAAGATTGTCTATGTCCTACAGTGTAGCACTGCCCAACTCCACCCTTGTCCCAGCTCATCTTCTTCATGAAAGCCTCAGCGTTTTCTACCTCTAGACCTGACTATACAAACACAATCCTGACAGCTCTCTCACATTATAACTTCATCAAACTTCAGGTCATCCAGTATTCTTCCTGAGTCCTTATTCACACTGAGTCCCTTTCCCCTGTAACCCCTGTGGATGCTGACCTCCTTTGGCTCCTGGTTAAGCAACACCTCTCCATTAAAATTCCCATTGTTGTTTCCAAAACCCTTCATATCGCTGTAAGCTCCTATATGCTGCAGAGATATCTGTTCACCTCCAATTCTTGTCCCTTGCATTTTCCCGATTTTAATCACTCCATCGTGGTGGCTGTGCTTTTAGCTTTTCTGGGCCCAAAGCGCTGGAATTGCCTCCCAAATTCTCATTATTTCTATGATTCATTCCTCCCATTACAATACCTCTTAAAGCCTCGCTTTTTGACCAAGATATTAATCAACTGCCCTGATGTCTCCTTCAAAAATGTACATGTCTAAACTAGTGCAGGGCTCTGAGAAATCTGTGTCAGATGACAATAATGTTATCTGCAAGGTCGTGGAGGAGAAAGAAGACATAATTTCAAGATACATAGCCATTCAAGATCACTTTGGTACTATAATTCCACCTCTTTCCCTGTTGCTCACTTTCCTAAACAGAAAATTACTAGGAGTTGGGACATTACCTAAATTGCAGAAACTAGAGGATTCTTGGCTAAGATGATCATATCTCAGGTGTAAGTATTTACCAGTAGTTTACTGTTACCCATCAAGTGTTCACTCACCGATAACTTTTATATTAAAGGAGCAATTTGCTTTGTTTCCACTCTTGTCTGTTGCTGTGTAGGTGATAGTGATTTCTCCAATTGGGAAGAGATGAGGCGGAACCACTGCAGGAGTCACTTGTAAAGACACCTTATGATGCAGAGGAGAGATTGCTGTGAGTGGTAAGGTTTGTAAATTCAACCATGGGTTAACAATGAGAGAACAACCTTCCCATTCTTCCACTAAAGAATAGCTGTAAAATCTTTTGTATCCAACTGAGAAAAAGGACAGACGGAGCCTTACACCTCTGACAGTGCAGCACTCCCCTAGTACTGTCGGCCTAGAGTTTGTACTCGAGTCTCCGGAGTGAGAAATAAACCATCAATGCTCTAACTCAGGTAACACGAATTCTATCCACTAAGACTCAGCCGATACCAGATACCGAATGCAGTTTCTGGATCAAACTTTAACCAGAAACTCCAGCACTCACCTCATCAGCTGAGTTGTCGTTTGATTTTGGTGGCTGCCAGGTAACATTTGCTGTTTTTTGATGTTCTGAAGTTGCCACCTTGACTTCCTCTGGACAGTAGATTTGAGGAGCCTCGATGTCTAATTGATTCAACCATATGGGAAAAGAAAATCAGCTCACCAATTAAATTTAAACAACACCGTGAAAAATAATCCTTTTTATTGCAATACCATTCATCCAATAGGAAACTAAATGGTAATCAAATGGCAATATTGGAACCACAAATTGTGCTTCTTTAAAAACATCCACACCAGATAGGAATGTATGAAACATCTGATCCAGTAGTGTGCTCAGACCCTTAAACGACAGAGTGTAAGTGAGTCCTGCTGAGGATACATAGGGCTGCATGATAACTGACACAGTCATGATAACTTCCTTTACATTACATGCAGCTTTCCCTTTGCTTCATTGAAATAGACGTCAATACGTGAAAGAAATGGATGACAGTAAGCTCTGACAAATCCAAGCAACCTGCTTGATATCAAGAGACTAACAAAAAAAGATTTGTATCTATATAGCCTCTCATGGCCTCAGAAAATCCCAAAGGCTTTACAGCCAAAGAAACATTTTTAAGACAGAAGGTTAGATTTTGAATGCTTCTACCACCTGCTAATACTGGGGCGTGTGCTGTGTGGCGAGGGCTGGTGCAGGTGACATTCCAAACTCTTGCCGTGTCAACCCTCTGATTGTCAGAGGCCTTCCCACTGGAGGCTATTTGAGGCCCTTAGTTGGCTAACTCAAGGCCAATTCAGCTTCTGATTATGGTGCCCTGGTATCCTGCTGGAGGGTGGGGTGGGGTGCATGCACCGTGTTGGGCGGAGACTTGGGCTGGCTCCCTGTCGGTTGGGGAGGCCTCTGCTGATCTAGGATCCTGCGGCCCACAAAGAGGCTCCAACCCCCATTGTAGCAAGGGTCACATCCTCACCCTAGAGAGAGGCCCTCTTTCCCTCCACAATGAAGCCCTGCCTGACAAGCTATGATGATCTTCTTTCATCTTATCTTCTGTGGCCTCACTGCTAATGCTCCGGAGCCAGCTGTAGTCCCAGTCATGGCCTGCATGGTGCTGCAGTGACTGAAAAGATAGGATCTGTGCCTTTAATCACACAGGAACCCTAACGACCGGCAAATATCAACCAGTTGGCATTCAATTCCATTGAAGGTCCTTGAAATGGCCATAATGGGATTTCCACTGGCATGGCCTTCAAATTAAGTTCATTGTCAATACTATAATGTGGGAAAGACTGTAGCACCATCCCACCAACAGCAAAGTGAAAAACAATCAGATTATTTAGTGAGATAACAAGGTGTAGAGCTGGATGAACACAGCAGGCCAAGCAGCATCAGAGGAGCAGGAAAGCTCGTTTCGGGTCTGGACCCTTCTTCAGATTATTTAGTGATGTGGGTTGATTGATCTAAGGCCTCAGGGAGAATTGGTAAGTGCTACTTCAAAGTAATGTCATGGGATGTTTTATATCTACCAGACAGGCCCTTGGTTTCAAATCTCATCCAAAGTAGGGGTCATCACTTTACTGGAGTGCCAACCTAGCTATTTTTGCTAAAGTCTCTAAAGTCGGTCTTGAACATAGAGGCAAGAGTGCAACCCATTAAGCCAACAAAAAAAAACACAAACCGGGCTTGATCCTTTATTTAAAGCCAAATAATTTGGGATTAATTGTGACGATTGGTTGAAACTAGCTTTTGTGTTTGCTTTGTTATTGTTCAGATATACTGAGTGCTTGTGAATTGAATGAGCTAGCTTGGTCTTTTTAAACAAGGAAGATATCACTCTGGCTGGTTAGAATCAGGGATTGACAATAGGATTATTAATTATGTAGATGCTGGACCTGGGCAGATAATCCAGTTAGGTTTGAGTGTATACTGCCTTGTGATAAAACCATTGATGGCTGTGCCTTCGGCTGTCTAGGCCCTGAACTCTGGAATTTGTTCCCTAAATCTCTCCAGCTTTCTCTCCTCCATTAAGATGCACCTTTACCAATTACAGTTAACTCTGACAAATCCAAGCAACCTGATTGATATCAAGGGACTAAGAAAAGAAAGATTTGCAACTATATAGCCTCTCATGGCTCTAGAAAATCCCAAAGGCTCTGCAACCAATTAAATATTTTTAAGACAGAAGGTCAGATTTTAAATCACAGCAATGGAAGGATCCAAATTAATAAACCAATACAGAGCCAATGCAGCGCCACATGCACACTCTCAACCTTTCTCTCCAACAGCATCGCAACGTGCTGGCTCAGGGCTGCACTGCTCCGCAATTCCACTTCATTCTCCGGCTCATTCATTGTGCTAACAAGAAACTTTTTCTTTTCCTTTCAGGCATCAAGACCCACAAGATGCAACAACTCAAAAATACCCATGGCCCTCTGGAACCTACCTCTACTCACCTTCCCTCTGACTCTATCCCCTCTGCCAACCCCTCCCACCTCGTGTCGGGTATTCACCATCCCTCCTAACCTTCCACTCTCTGATGCTGAACGCTCTGTACTCAGCAAAGGCCTCAGCTTTATCCCTCTCCGTCCCCACCTTAATGAATTTTGGGCACGACATGACACCGAACTGTTCTTCCACTGTCTTCGCCTCCGTGCTCACTTCTTTGGACAAGAGTCCTCTCCCTGTCCCACTGACCCCTTTGCCCAACTCCAACACTCTCCCTCCACCTGGACCCCTCCCTCCGGCCTTTTACCTGCACTCGATCTTTTCATTGAGAACTGTCAACGTGACATTAGTCGCCTCAATTTCACTGCCCCTCTCAACAAATCCAACCTATCACCCTCCGAACTGACTGCATTCCGTGCACTCAGATCTAACCCTGACTTTGTCATTAAGCCTGCCGATAAGGGTGATACTGTTGTAGTCTGGCGTGCTGACCTCTACCTTGCAGAGGCTGAGCGCCAGCTCTCCGATACCTCCTCCTACTTTCCCCTGGACCATGACCCCACCATGGCACATCAGGCCATTGTATCCACTACGGTTACAGATCTCATTTCATCCGGTGATCTCCCTCCATCCGCTTCCAAGCTAATAGTCCCCCAACCCCGCACAGCTCATTTCTACCTCCTGCCAAAAATCCACAAACAGGACTGTCCAGGTAGAGCCATTGTTTCAGCCTGCTCATACCCCATAGAACTCATCTCTTCCTACCTTGACTCAGTCTTCTCCCCCCTGGTCCAATCCCTACCCACGTACATCCACGATTCATCTGACGCCTTACGCCGGTTTCAAAGCTTCCAGTTTATCGGCTCCAGCCACCTCCTCTTTACCACGGATGTGCAATCCCTTTACACATCCATTCCCCACCAGGAGGGCCTTAGGGCTTTCTGCTTCTTCCTGGAGCAAAGAGCTGAACCATCCCCACCCACCACCACCCTTTTCCACTTGGCTGAGCTTGTCCTCACCCTCAACAACTTCTCTTTCAACTCCTCTCATTTTCTTCGGGTAAGCGGGGTTGCCATGGGTACCTGCATGGGCCCTGGTTATGCCTGTCTCTTCCCCTCCCTTGTCTGCCTTCCGCAGGGACCGTTCCTTTCGGGACACCCTGATCCACACTTCCCTCACCCCCAACACCTCCCCACAGCCCTACGGCACCTTCTCCTGTAACCGGCAAAGGTGCAACACCTGCCCATTTACCTCCTCAGAGATAGTAGGAACTGCACATGCTGGAGAATCCGAGACAACAAGGTGCAGGGCTGGATGAACACAGCAGGCCAAGCAGCATCATAGGAGCAGAGAGGCTGACGTTTTGGGCCTAGACCCTTCATCAGAAAAGGGGGAGGGGAAGGGGGTTTTGAAATAAATAGGGAGAGAGTGGGAGGCGGATAGAAGAGGGATAGAGGAGAGGATAGGTGGAGAGGAAACAAACAGGTCGAAGAGGCGGGGATGGGGCCAGGAAAGGTGAGTGTAGGTAGGGAGTTAGGAAGGGGATAGGTCAGTCCAGGGAGGACGGACAGGTCAAGGGGGCGGGATGAGGTTGGTCGGTAGGAGATGGAGGTGCGGCTTGAGGTGGGAGGAGGGGATAGGTGGGAGGAAGAACAGGTTAGGGAGGCAGGGACGAGCTGGACTGGTTTTGGGATGCGGTGGGGGGAGGGGAGATTTTGAAACTT